CTTTGTTTTCGAGAAAGTAGCCTCAGAGTCAACACTCATAGACTGTGTCTGAAATCACACCCTACACCCTCATTCACTATTCCCTACATTAGTTCACTATATAGTCCACTAGACCGAGTGATTGAAAACAAATGAGTGAATTCAGACACTGATGAACAGCTGCTGTTAACAAGCAGAATCACTGCAGAATCACTGAAGGAAAGAACAAGAAACAAAACTACAACTTCCAGTCACAGCCTTAGATGAAATTAACCAAAATAAAACAGCAGAGGAGGATTACACAACTCCACAAACAGCATTACCAGCTTCACTCATTACTAACCAGACAAAAATTCTTTGAGAATTAACCGAGGTTTATATTGTATTGAAAATGTTTTGTTTGGCCTCACCATTTTGGCGATCAGTGGTTGCTTTAGTTGGGCTCTTGACCCTTGACTGTTTAATGTTAGTTTTTTTCTGCAGTTGTCTCTGTGTGTGTAAAGCACATTTGTTATGACAAGAATAGCCGAGAGAAATTTTAATGAAGTGGTTTTGATAAATATTAATGATGATGAATCGTCATCTCATGATCTGACTCACTGATCTCAATTAGTGTCTAAGTTAATAATTTTTTTTTTATGGTACAAGTCGCTCTACAAGATATGCTGACAAACTATTGTTAAGAAATTTAAAAAAGTTTTACGTTTTAAATCTTTAGAGCTAAATCACCATTTAGACACACACAGACATCAAGAATCATTTTTTTGATTGTCACCAATCTTGAGATTCATAGGCTGACTGTTGATGTCTGTCTGTGTTTAAAGAGATAGTTCATCCAAAAATGAAAGTTTGATGTTTATCTGCTTACATCCAGGGCATCCAAGATGTAGGTGACTTTGTTTCTTTAGTAGAACACATATGGTGATTTTTAGCTCCAACCGTTGCAGTTTATCAATCGTATAATGCAAATCCAACCGTTGTAGTTTATCAATTGTATAATGCATAGCAATGGTAACAAAATCTGTGAGAATAAAATCAAGAAAAGAAAACAGCAAAATACTGTAAAACCTAACAGTCAACTTCCTGTTGTGTTTTGTGGGTCACCATTGTGCTGGAGAGCAGAGCCTGTGTTTAAGTAAAGGACGGACAGAGAAACATTGATGTTATGCTGTTTGTTGTTTTATTCAAAGGCAGTAACTGTGTAGTTATTGATGCATTGTGAATCTCTTCAATAATTTAAGTTGTACATGAATGTGTGCTGCTGTTATCTGCAAAAGGTTTGAGTTGAATTGATGATTTTAACGATTTTGCATAAATCAGTAAGTTTTTCTTCATGGACTTAAGCAAAATAGTTCTTAAGACCAATATGCTTGCGTTACTTAAACATTATAAATATTAGTTTATAAACAAATGCCAATTGGCCAAGTTAAGTGCAGTCGGTTTCTGCAAATAAAATGAGTTAACTCAAAGGTTTGCATATTAACATTATATCAGTTAATGAAATACAGTTTTTTACTGTAAATTTAAACAGTTCTGTAAAACCTAAAATGTTGCTACCGTATTTTTCACGGTAAAGTTCTGGCAACCATAGCTGCCGGTATTTTACCATAAATTTAACATTTTTTTTTACAGTGTATCCTTTCAGGGGAGAAACAACGGTGTTTTCTTGATGGCTGACAAAATTGAAGCATTCAAACGGAAGTTGGTATTGTGGGAGAAGAGAGTGCAGGAGAACATTTTTGACATGTTTCCTAACCTTACTGATGTTCTGCAGGAATTCCCTCACATCAGCACCGACATACAGAGAATTGTCCGGGACCACCTGACCAGATTAACACAGAAATTCTGTGATTATTTTCCCAATGACCGAAGAGTTGGGAATGCGTGGATTCGCGATCCTTTTTCAGTAGTCCCAAGTGATGTGGATGTTGTACTCCCCATTAATTTGCAAACACAGTTAGGGGAACTTGCATCTGATGGCAGCCTGCAGCTTGCTTTTCGCAAGACAGACCTGAGTTCCTTCTGGATTCAAACCAGAATCCAGAAGGATTTGTGTGTTTTCGTGAAATTAATTATAATAAGCATATACGGTGTAGCCTAGGTCTAAAGAGGCATTTCAGTTATTTATTTATTTTCAGCCTTAGTGGGTCGTATGACTGGCATACAAAAAAAAAGTGGGTCGCAGTAGGCAAAAGGTTGAGAAACCCTGCAATAGAGTAAGCTTTCTATATACAAATGCCATATTTATATATATATATATATATATATATATATATATACTGAACAAAATTAATTCCACCAACCGTCATTCAGTGCTGCCTCACTATTGCTATAGTCCCTCATCAACTCATGGAAGCTCGCCATTGCGCCTGCTTTCATCAGTTGCAGCTCCTATATAAGAGGATGCCAAGTCCTCCACTTTCAGTGCTTTTGCACTCGTTCACTGGATCGTCAGTGATGGTTCCAGCACACACTGATGAAGTGTGAAGCGAGGCAGGAATGTTTACAACCACTGATTTTTTTTATATATATACATATATATATATATATATATATATATATATATTTATATTAAAATAAATTAATAATACTTGTAATCATTGGGTGAATATTTTATTAGAATTATCTAATTGCATTTTTTGTGCATTTTAAACAGATCCCTGACAGAAGAACTGATTCTTAAAAGGAAGCAAACATGGACTACATATATTTATATTAAAATAAATTAATAATACTTGTAATCATTGGGTGAATATTTTATTAGAATTATCTAATTGCATTTTTTGTGCATTTTAAACAGATCCCTGACAGAAGAACTGATTCTTAAAAGGAAGCAAAACACCATGGACTACTTACAAAAGAATGGACGGTAATTGACCCCACAAAAAATTATAATTTTTTTTGTATGGAATTATGCAAGAAATATTCAAAATGAACATGTATTAGCATTGGTATTATTAGCAGAAATTTATTTTAATGAAATATACAATAAATGATAGAAGTCTCTAGTAGTACATGCTGTAACCCTTAGAGTAACAGTACAAATGCTTGGAAATAATGCTTAACATTTTTACAGTTGTTATGGGCAGAGAGTGGAAGGGGTAATTAGTAGACAAGGCGAGGACCAAATCATAGCTATTTATTAAATGAAACAAAAAGATGATACATGAAAATGAGAAGAGTACAAAATGGTAAGAAGAGTTGCCAAAATGGTAACTCTCAAACAAACCTGCTTTGAAGAAGAGTGGAAAAGGAAGACAACCACAGTGGAGTTCAAGGAACTGGACCAGACCAGAGCCAGGGACTTGGAAGACTGAGTCAATGCTGGAGAAAGTGGAGACAAAGGCAGAGCCAGAGGAAAGGAGGACCAGGGCATTGTCACAGGATCAGAGGACCAAGGTGGAGCCAGAGGGTCAGAGAGCAGTTGTGGAGCCAAAATTATGGAGGTTAAGGCACCACTGAACGTCCGGAGGTCTATGGTATAACCAGGGGATCTACAGACTGCGGTTTTATAAATTAAATTATATAAAGCAATCGTATCTCTTCATAAGACTTGGATTAAATCGCTGAATTAATATAGACTAATTTTACAAAGCCTGTATAACCTTTTGGGATATTTTCAGTTTTTTTTTTCCTGTACTTCCAGTGGAGGAACAGAAACCTCCCAGGTTTCATTAAAAATATCTCAATTTGTGTTTCAAAGATTAACCAAAGTCTTATGGGTTTGGAACTACATGAGAGCAAGTAAATGATGACAGCATCTTCATTTTTGGGTGAAGATCATTTTTGGCTCTTTAATGTGAAGTCTGAACTGACAGAAAATAAAAAAAGCTTTGCGTTTAATAACTAAAATTTTGAGCAAAGTTCTCTACTGTTAGTTTTCAACAAGGAGCTCCTTTTTTACACATGAAAAGACAGAGTACCTTGTAACAGTACCCCACCTTTCAGTTATCAACAACATCACTGTACAATTAGATTCTACAATTAAAGGTATAGTTTTAGTTAAAGGGGAAATTCTGATGAATTTAGGCACAGTCCTGCAGGATCGCTACTGGTTGAAGCTCTTATTTCAAGACTGGACTGCTGCAATGCTCTTTGACATATTTTGTCACATTAACAATGCAATAAAAGCAATAATAACGGTGATGATAAATCAGCACATTACAAAAAATGCTATTATGCTACGTCATATGTCTCTTAATATTAAAGTCAGATGTTATTGGAATCTTCAGGGCCAGTTGAATGTCCTGCCTGTGATCTGAATGAACTTCTGGTTAAATGGGTGGAAGAAGCGTTGCAGTTTTTCCTTGATGGAGAGATTTACATCTGGATGGATCCGGCCCTTACTGCCCGCCAGGCACTTACTGAACATGAACTTGAAGCGCAGACAGAAGAACCCACGTGTGGCATTGAAGTACAGATTGTACTGGCTGATTCGTGATGGAAGGTTTAAGAATTGTTCAACCAGCTTAAGCTCTGGAAGTGGGTCTGTGATGAGGTGGTCTCCATCAACTATGTGAAATTGCTCAATGGGAAAGAACTTTAACCAGTGTTCTAAGTACTTGGTGTAGATGCTTGTCCGTACAGCCTTGTACTTTGTGTTCACCTCACAAGTCTTGGTATCAATCACAAGTTCCTCAAACTTGTTGTATGTTTTGTTCTTGCGCTCTTTGCCCTCTAGGACCTGTGTATAGTCAGAAACAGCGCGGGTGGTGGGCTCACGCACAATCAACAAAAGTTTAATGGAGGAATTCATTTTAAAGATCCTCTCAGGTACCTCCTCAGTGATGAAATATGCAGGACTCTTCTCAATAGTTATTTGGTGAGGAAAAGAGAAGGGCATCTTTTTGAGGTACCAGTCAACCCCACGATCATAGTTTTCATCATTGTCGAAAAAGTGGACCTCCTGGGAGGCCTTGACAACAGCAGGGTGAAGACTGAGCATCTCCAGCAGAGCGCGTGTTCCACCTTTCCTCACCCCAATGATGATGGCCCTGGGGAGCTGCTTAATGAGGTGGTGCATTCGCAGTTGCTCCCTTGTGCTGTTTCTCCTGTGCAGCTTGAGATGTAGAGCTTGTTTGCGCTGCAATGTATGTAAAGGAATCTGCCCTGATGAACCAGCAGGGGACAGTTTGTCCTTAATGGGACAGATGAGCTGCAGTCTGCAATGAGAGAACAAAATTTGGGTGTATAACCACCCAGTGTACATGAAGTTTTATGCACCATAATTAATTAGAATTAAAACAGATAATTATTTTTGTTGATTAAGTGTCACATGAAATCTGATTTGGTAACTTCTTCATATTTTTCTACTTTTCAAATGACTACATATACAGTGCCTGTCCTAATACCCACACTCTTTGCACCTGACCACTTGTCTACTTGTAAGACATATTTCCTGGATTTGGTCCCAAGTGTTCAAGCGGGCGTAAAGACCGCAAATGTGTGTGAAACCTTTGATTAACGATGAGACACACTTACAATATTGTAAAAATGCAAGTTTTTCCAGAGCTTTATTTATATATTTTTTATTTTCAATACTTTGCACTTTAAAATAAACTTCTAAATGTCTGTTCAGTAGCCCTATGTAAAAGAAGACATAATTTAATTGTGGTGCATTATGAAAAAACTATTTCAAATGTTTTACAAATACACTCACATCTGTAAATTGGGCAACATTTAAATGTAATATCTCCCCTTAAGAGAAGAGACGATCATGAGCGTTTAGTGCCATCACTTGACCAGATGATAATATTAAATAATATGTCACCTTCTCTTTTATTTAAAGTACACCAAATACACAAAATAATGATCTTTAAAATAGCATCATATGACCCCTTTAATTAATTCTGAAGGCAAAGGCTGTTTCTCTTGACTTTTACCTCTGTAAAATGAGGTACTGGCAACAGCTAGGTAAAGATGTTGATGCTATTGTCATGGTAATGTCATCTCTAAATTGGACTAATTTGGACAGTCACACAGACAGCGTGTTGTTTTAATAAATGAAATATAAGGCTTAAATAAAATGAATTTAGTGTGTAATAATGGCTGCAATATTGTATTATGTTCCTGACCCTGTATTGATGTAAAGTAAATGGAGTCGAGGAGTTCCACTAACTATGGTGTTAGGAGTCAGATTTGGCTAAAAAACCCACCCCTATCGAACACCTCTACTTATTGGTCAATAGCTGTGTTTTAGATACAATAAATAATTACATATGTTGGAGTGTGAAAAGTGTTTATTTTCCATAAGTACACGGGGACAAAGGTACTTATTATTGAATAAACACACTGGGGGTTGAGTTTTTCTGTGAATGAATGCTATAATACCTGTCTAAAGTGCCTTCTCTGGCCACCAGAAAGAAAAGGCTCCCAAGCACCAAGCTACCCAGTACAAAGAGCCTCTGCCTCAGCCACTGCTGCTGTAAAAAAAGCATCACCCTCCATCAACAGTCTTCCTCAGCCTGCATAGAGACACACACACACATACATACATATAAACATGATTTATGTATCCACATCTTTTCACTTACACATTGATAAAGATCCCACGTCCATCAAACTAAATACTGCATATTTATCAGTTAACAAACACGCGTTTCAAACAGCATCGGAGAAGAGCTTAATGCTTTTTAACACACACTAAATCATGTCTTACAAGTCAGCAAATGCTGCAGCGTCGTTATAGAGGGTGCCCACTCAACACAAACACACACACACGTTGGTATGTGTGGTTTACAGGGACTCTCCATAAGCGTACTTGTTTTTATACTGTACAAACTGTATTTTCTATCACCCTACACCTATACCAACCCCTCACAGAAAGCTTACTGCATTTTTAGATTTTCCCCCCCAAAAAAAAAAAACCCCACCATTTAGTATGTATTTTAAGCCATTTGAATTACAGGGACACAGGAAGTGTCCTCATAAACCACATTGTAATACTCATGCCATATCATACCCATGTCATTATACAAATTTGTGTCCTCATAAACCACCTAAACCAATGTACACACACACTGAAAGAGAGCTAATTCACTCACACATAATGAATTATTTTACACTTATATTTATTCATTTACCAAACACCTTAATCTAAACAAGTTACAAATGAGGAATATAACAAATTGATTGATCCTGAGGCAATAAAAAGCTTGCTCTGTTTTAGATCATTTATAGAACTTGCAAATGCAGCAAGACTGAACATGTTAGAAGTCTGGCTAGAAGAGCATGGCATTAATTCAGTCTAGAAATGACAAGAGCATGGATGAGCAGCATGGTTAGTTAGGAAGAGCCTTTGTCTATACTTTGTGAGAGAAAATAAAAGGTTTCAGAGTTTTAATGATTTAAACTAAAATATGACAAATTATTGTACTACTCTTTTTCTTTCCATTACGGTCTCTTCTCTCCTCCTCACTATCCTTGAAGCTGTCCTCATATTCTCTCTCTTGGACAGTTGGGCTGGGACAAATGTCCTTCATTTGGACATGTCCTTGCCTTCCTCTATTTCATCTTAGGGGGTAAATTGTTGTTATGCTCTAAATCTTCCTTGCACTCATCCATCTTGCTGCTGTTATTGTTTAGAAAACCCCACCACCATTATAGTTGACTCTTGTGTAAGGGTAATCTTGGTGTCTGAGCTGGCATGCAAGGGTACATAAAGCTATATTGACTCTCTCTCCCAGTCAACTAACAGTTCTGCTGTAAAATACAATAAATTTAGGGTTGAGGCCATGTCTAAACAAGACCTAAAATAATAAATACTGCAATGCTGATGAGAACGTGTGTTAGCACTTTATCTTCCAATACTGGCTATGAGCGGCCCACACAATGATCAGTAACACCTACAACAATATTTCTACTGTTCCGCTATACAATATCTTTTAGCATAGTTCTCATTAAAATGAAAATTCTGTCATCATTTACTAACTCTCAAGTCATTCCAAACCTGTATGGTTTTGTCTTCTGTGGAACACAAAAGAAGATGTTTTGAAGAACTGTTTTGCGTAACCGGTATTGAAGAGTGAATCTGCATTTTTACTCAGACTGTCGGGTGTTTTTTGTTCAGATGACAGTGAAAATTGGGCCGAATTTTCAATGCAGTGTTTTAAGTGGTTGATACACAAAGGTTTAATTATTTTAAAGGGGTGCTTCACTGGGTTTTTTATAGGCTTGATTGTGTTTATCAGGTGCAGTCTAACATGTGTTAACGCTTAGTTTTAAAAAAAACAACACATTATTTTTCACATAATTTACCTTTATTCCACACCTCTCTGTTCCTTCTCTGAGAAATAGGCTGATCATTTCCTTCTTTTATGAAGCCCCTCCCTCAGAAATAGGCGATGGGCTCTGATTGGTTATAGCTAGCCCAGTGTGTTGTGATTGGCTAAACCGCCTCAAGCGCGCGTCTCTTTGCTGCCTTTTCCCGAGGGCGGGGTTTATCTGGGTTTGTGATGTCACGAACCCGGGAAGTAACTCGTTGTAGTCCCTACCAGCCGTTTTTGTAGGCCTTAAACTGCCAGAATTTTAAAAGACGATATATCTGTTTGCATTGAGCCTAAACAATATCTGCAAAGTTACAAAGCTGAAAGTTCAAACAGCAACATTAGACACTAACTAACGTTAAAAAAGTGAAATCGCAATGAACCACCCCTTTAAAATTTGACTCAACATGAAGTTTTTTTTTTATATCATAAATTTTACTAAGAATTTTAACTGCTGATTACAATAAATATAAAAAAATTAAGAATATTAATGAGTATTACTTAGAAATAATAACTGAACCCCCCCCCCAACCACAACCACTAAAACTTGCTAAAATTACTCAAAACACACTATTTTATCTGTTTATTGGATGTGATGCGACAAAAGGTTTGGAAACCCCTGAACTGATCATTCAAAATGAAGCAATAAGGAAAAACAGGCAGGAAACAGAAACTGATGATGAAACAGATGAAGGAAGCATGCGTGTGCGTGTGTGTGTGTGCGCGTGCGTGTACGCACTATGGAGTGATGCTGATGAGGTGTAATGGAGTAATGTGACCTCATACTGCTCACATCCAAGCACACACACAAGATCGTCTCACTCTCCTCTTAAATAATGGGTGTTCTGTGTCTGATGGATCACTTAGCTGATGTTTACATGAGATGAGTCACACTATTAAACACAATGACCTGCCATGACTTCACTTAGACTGGGTTCCCATGACAATAGTCCTTGGTTTCATATTTAAAGGAGGAATGACATGCAGCCAAGCACATTTTCTAACACTATTACTCCTACAATGTGAATGCCATCATGGGGCTTTTTTCAAACACTCCATTTTAATAGGAAATCATCTGATTGGATCAATGAGTAAACATTACCCAACCAGTATTTTTAAATCTGAACTCTCCACCTTACAATACAAAAAACAATGAACTTTGGGAGAGCTGTGCATGTGGTGACCTGCAGTGGTAGTAGCAGTTACTGCGTCTTTTGTCGTGTGTCTTGCCGTATAAAGTTTAAGACTTCAGTGTTAAAGTTAATTACTTATTGCTAGATTTTTTGTCAAGTTCGCTAAATGGATGTGTTGATTATAGTCCTGTTGTGAGCTTTATTCCTCCATCCTTCGTGTCCAAATTCTTCACCTATCAAACAAACAATGAGGCTCCAGTATGGCAGAGAGTTCCTCCTCCACCGTCCTTGCAATGTTCGTTACCTCATGGACCAAAGTCCACTGTGTGGAAACAGTGTTCATAACAATGGATCTTCCACTAGTCTGAATTACAATTCTCGGAAAATTCGGAAGAGAGGGAAGAAGGGATGGGTGAGTATGAGGCTGAGAACACTACGGCTTAACTGGACTCCACTTCTGATTATTATCATACCAAATGTCCAATTGCTTAGGAACAAGATTGATGACCTGCAGGCAATGGTACGTATTCAACATGCTTATAAGGATGCTTCTTTTTTAGCTTTTACTGAGACATGACTAAAAATGTGACCCTGATAATTCTGTTCTTATTGATGGGTTCGGCACTCCTCTATGTACCGATCGCAGTTCAGCAGTTACATGGAAAAACCAAGGAGGAGGCATTGGTCTCTATATTAATCAGGAATGGTGCAGATCTGTTATTGCAACCCAATCTCACGGCAATTCGTACACATGGGCGGCGCTAGGGAGGGGCTAGCAGGTGTTTAAGCACCCCCAAGAAAGTCCAAAGCACCCCCATAGCACCCCCACACATTTTTTCCTGAAAGCAAAAACAGACTGTAGCCACTTATATCTAATAAATGAAATAAAAACATTTGACTCATTACGCATGCATAACTAATGCAATGCAATAACGTGACGTGATTTGATTGTCGCACTATTCCTAATGTCATGGCACAAGTAACCGCTCCATTTTTAAAATGCTATGTAATTAGGCCTGCCCCGACTAAAGATTTTTCTAGTCAACTAGTCACACGTTTATATTAAATTAATTCATATAATGCCTACTAAACCATCCTATAATATATGTGACCCTGGACCACAAAACCAGGATTTCTGAAAGCTGAATAAATAAGCTTTCCATTGATGTATGGTTTGTTAGGATAGGACAAAATTTGTTCGAGATACAACTATTTTAAAATCTGAGGGTGCAAAAAAATCGAAATATTGAGAAAATCCCCTTTAAAGTTATCCAAATGAAGTCCTTAGCAATGCATATTACTAATCAAAAATTACGTTTTGATATATTTACTGTAGGAAATTTACAACATATCTTCATGGAACATGATCTTTACTTAATATCCTAATGATTTTTGACATAAAAGAAAAATCTATAATTTTGACACATACAATGTATTTTTGGCTATTGCTACAAATATACCCCAGCGACTTAAGACTGCTTTTGTGGTCCAGGGTCACATATAGGCCTAGGTGTAATATAGCCTATTTCATGCTTAAGCTCACGCATAAAGCTTGCCGAAATGCACCGGCAAAAGTAATGATTATGAATGTGTTTTAATGATTTATTAGTAAACTGCTTTTTGAGTCAGTTACTGACACTGACTCGCCATCGCCGCAGTATAATGGACGTGCCTTTAGAAATGCACCTTTTCATACGGACTACATTATCAGAGATTTTTTTTTTTATTATTTGAATTGGTTCGTTTAATAGTAGACATTTCAAGCTTTCTATAGGTTTATTTCTTATGCCTGTGAGGCAAGTGGCCGATTCTTGTGATGTGTCAGTTTCACGGAGACTGGGACAGCAGACGGTTTATTTTCTCTATTTTACAAAAGCATAACGTGTTATTGTGAGTGTACTGTGTACACGAATAAAAGCGTAATAAAAGCAAATGATGTAGCCTATTAGTCTTATCTGTATGACCAAAAAGTGATACAGAGTATTTTAAGCTCTTTCCGCAGGAAAAAATGCAAGACACCACGCGGGGGCCTCCATAAGCATGCTAATATTTTAGCTTCCAACCTCC